GAAAGATTTGTTTAATGTCTACTACGAGGCAGGCACTAATATGTGCAGTTTCTCATGTAATCCTCACAACTCTGTCTAATAAATATTGATGTCCTTATTCTACAGATGAGGAAACTGAGGCTCAGAGAGGTTAACAGCTTTTCCAAAGTCGAAGAGGTAGTCAGATCAAAAGTTGACATCTGGACCCAGGTGTTTCTGGTTCTAAAGCTTGGGCTTTATTGATAGCGCAAAATTCCAATTATAAAAAAACTTACAGGGGCCGGCCTGGTGGCACAGTGGCTAAGTGCGCACGTTCCGCTTTGGTGGCCTGGGGTTCGATGGTTCAGATCCCGGGTGCGGACACGGCACCGCTTGGCAAGCCATGCTGTGGCAGGCGTCCCACATATAAAGTGGAGGAAGACGGGCATGGATGTTAGCTCAGGGCTAATCCTCCTCAAAAAAAAAAAGTTACAATTTTTTTTTAAAAGAATAAAGTGCATTCTATTTCAGTACACAGCACTTTTCAAACCAACTTGTAGTTTCATAATAACTCTTCATAATCCACCCTTGAGTATTTACAGAGGAGAAATAAAGATTTACAATTTAATGACAGATAATGCTTGAAAAAATAATTTTTAAATTTAACTTTAAAACTGCTGTGGTAGTTACAATTGGATGCAGGAGCCAAATATTCTAAAAATGTTAATTAAAAAACAATAAAAAAGCCATTTCAAGAACAGCTGGGAAACTGTCCATTTCTTTAATCATCTTTTCTCCCAACTGATTCCACATGGGGAAATAAACAAGTCATACATTATTTTAATGTAAAATACCAACATAAGCAGAGCTAGAAACCTTAGCCAGAGCTGGGATTTCAAAGGGAAGGCACTAGATTTAATGCCAAACTTGGAAAAATGACTAAATTGGAAATTTCAAGAAAATACACATAGTAAAATGCATATATTTCAGTAACAGCTCAAAATTTTCATTAATATTTTAATGTCAGATCATTTTCAAGCTGGATGCTTTAGGAGCTGCAAAAACTATCATGCCCTTTTTGTGAAATGAAGGATTTTGCCTTCTATATTTCTTAAAGTGTCTGTATCTTCATTTATCTAAATCCTATATACAAACTTCTTTTCCAAAATATTACATTGGCAGATTATGTTGTTTGGAGCTGGGTTCTAAAGACAAACACTACAAATAACCCTTTGAAACAAACAGCAAACGACAACCAGACAGTTGCTACAGATAGGCACAGAAATATTTTGCTTCGGTGTGGGAATAAGAGCCCCCATCCACAGGGGGTCAAGCTCAGGTGTTCTCTTCTGGCAGCTTTGGAGTTTGATGCACCATCACCTACATCCTTCCGCAAAAGCAATTTTCTCAGCAATCTAGCAGATATTGATTTCTGTCCCTCAGGTTCTACAGACTGAAACTAAAGCTTGGAACCTCTTAGTAAATGTAGCACTAGTCATCAATTTAAATATACCACCAGGATGGCAAGAAGCAGGAGTACCTCGGAGGCCATCTCTTAGAAGCATTTTCAGAGATGATGTGTGTTTCCAATGGATACGGCACATAAGATACATTCCCCCAAGTATATAATCGTATATGATTCTATAAAGAATCATATAATCTTCTGAATTTGGATAACTCTAAGGTGAAACATATCAAATGTATCAGACCCCAATTCTGTGGGCAACAAATCTCCCTTAAAATTCCCATCGTAGTCATGCCTGCTCTGTTGGGTGTGAGGAAACCCATGGTGTGGGTGATTTAAAATATAAGTAAAGCCAACACAGAAGTGGTACTAAACTTTTATCCAGTCAGGACTCACAGATCTATTTCAGATCAATCTTAAGAGACATTTGCTCTCGTAGGACATCACTGTTGTTGTTTCTACAGTTTAAAATAATCCTAATTTGGTGTCTCCAGGTCTTTTAGCGGAAAATTCCTTATCTTTGTGATATACATATATACATCATTATCTATATTATTTATTATACAAATAAGATTATGTATACATAATATGTATGTGTATTATTTTTTCTATTATTCCAGCTAAACTTTTAGAAATTATTAAAGGAAAATTTTTCTGATACTGGTTAAAGAAGGAAGGGAAGACACCCTCAAGGGACTGAAAGTACTACTGCGATAGGGTTTTGCAGTAGAGGAGAGAGATCCGGCTCAACTCCATTTATAGCCAAGGAGCAGTGTGGTGTCAGTGGATGGAAAATTACTAAAAGGAAACACCAAGGGTAAGGGGATTAAACTGGCTAAACTGACTTGACAGGGTTCTTGCTGCAGGCAGGCCAGGGTGATCAGATGCCAAGGGTAGGGGATGAGGAATTTGATCAGATGAGGGGCCGGGTCGGGGGTGAGGGGGCGATTTTCCCTAAACTGACCCAGCAAGTTCTCCCTAAAACTGGATTAAGGAGGCCTAGGATGGAACTCATGGGTGGGGCCTCCAGAAGAAGTGGGCTCAGAGGAGCCTGACTCAGGTTTGCTGAAGGAGAGTCTTGGTCAAAATTCAATTTAAAATAATTATTACTTGTAAGGAAAAACTGACCAGAAAGTAGTTCATTAAATATTCCCCTCTCAAAACAACACAGAGATATAAACTATACAAACTGTTAGATCTACCACCACCAACAACAAAAATGATTGAATGCTTGCTGTGTGTCAGGCCCTATACCAGGTCTGGGACTAAAAGTTGGATAAGACACATTCTGTCCCTGATACAATGTAGCAATTGAAACTGGCAATTCTTAAATCAATGACAAAAATGATGCCATTATAGAGCAAGAGCCTTGATAGTTTCTTTAAAAGACAATACAAGAAGAAAAAAAAATTCCCCTTCAATCAAGACCCTTCTTTTCTTCTGCTCTTCCGACACCCCCCTGCTCAGTCCCTAGCTTTCCCGGCCTCGCTCGCTCCGCACCCCCAGTTCGCAGGAACTTCTCAGTCCTATCTGCTGGGCCCCTCTGCAGCCCACGCGCCTTCGGAGCCCACTGCGCCTGCGCACAGTCGGTCTTACCCGCCAGCAGGGGGCAGGCCAGGATTTTCTGTTGTCCACGGCCGGGCCCTGGCACCCCTCTTTTCCGGCTTTTCTCCTAGCTCCGGTCTGGTTATGCTTCCTTAGCAAAGGGTTACCCTTGGCAACCGGAGGACGCGGGCCGGCGGGCTAGGTTTCCAGGGCAGTCCTCGCACCTGCTTGGGGTCGGAGGCACAGGCCAAACCATGTCGGAGATCCTGTGCCAGTGGCTCAACCAGGAGGTGAAGGTGTCCCAGACCGTGAGTGAGTGACACGGCCGGGGGCGAGGGGCGAGCCGGGTGCGGAGCCCTGAATGCGGCGCGCTGATGCCAGGTGGCGGGGAAGGCGCGGGCTGCGCAGGTGGGGTGCCTGCGGGGCCTGGCAGCGCCCCGGGTCGGTCCTGTGCCCCGCTCCACCCCAGCCGTCGCAGGGCTTCTCGCATCCCCACTCTGCCGCTCCCTGGTTAACCATCATCACAGTGGGCCCACCCCCGCAGTCTCTGAACTACTGTGTGGTTCTAAGCAACCAGAGGGTTTAGGGAGGGTTCCCTAGCTCCTATGGAGAGAGAAATTTGCTGTACTCTGTAGTCTGGTCCCGACATTACCCCGCTTCACATCCTCAGAAACATGGTGTGCTGGCAAGCCAATGAAATATGAAACCGTTAAGTCAGCTACTACTAGATGTGTGCCCCTGAACAAGTTACAACACCTTCTCTGAGTATTTCCTCCAATGTAAAATAGATCCAATCATACTTTCCATACCTAACAGCCTAGCAGGAGAGAGTGTATGTGAAATGAGTTAGTGAAGAAAATTGTTAACATTTACAAATTTTGGCTATTTTAGCTCAAAATTTACAAACATTAGCTATTTCTGACCACTGTTGACTCTTGCCCACAGCTGACCTTATTCACTGACCTAATTTTATTCCAGCCGTGAAGTTGCCACCCAAAGTTTCTAAATCCCAGAACCACAGAGGCAGTTTGACATGCTGGCAATTTCTATGACAGCTCAGTAATTCCAGCACAGCGCTATACTCCATCTCTACTTCTTTCCGTTGTTTCTTCAAGAGGAGTACGTTTTCCAGCTGGTATGGATTTTGCACAAGGCAAAAGGTTTTCAGCCCAAATCATTTCAGTCTGTTTTCCCAGAAGCACCCGTGCATAATGCCAGCTTGCCACCAGTGGGGTAATAGTGCCAACTCAACCTTAGGTCATCCACAGAACTTGCTAGACTAGTAGCGTTTCTGCAGAGGCAAAGTGTTTATCATCAGCATTAGGATCTTTAACATTGGAGCACCTCCAGTTGCATTTCTTGAGGCATAAACCCTGGATTCTTTCTTTACCAAACCACCACCCACACACTCCCTGGGAACAACAATAAATTCTTTCCCAGGATTCTGTGATCATCCCATTGTATCTCTGACTATTTCTCACCTAAAATATGATGCCGATCTCAGGACAATGTTTAGCAGTTTTCTTTTCTGGTTCCCCTCTCACCATAGGAGCCAAAATGCAATATCGTGCCCTTAAGTCAGACTCTTCAAAGAAAAGCAGTTACAGCTTGCTGAGTTTACTTCAGGTCATTTACTTGATTAGTAAAAACCAAACCCTTTGCCCAAGTCCCCAGGCCTCTACTGCATATTGAAACACTTTCGAGAAGAATAAATAAAATTAATAAGAAACTTAAAAACAATAGTATGCCATTATAATTGTAATCAGTTTTTGGAATTTTGGTTTTGAGAGGAGGAGGAAGAATTACTTCATTCCATGAAGATTAAAAGACTGGAGACTTTTAAAGTAAGAACTTTAACAACATAAGCTATGAATGGAAAATTCCCGAAGTCTGCTTCCCTGAAGTGTAAATCTGGAAGCTGTAGAAGAGACAGCTGCAGTACTCTACCTCCCATTCACTAGCAATACATGCTCATTTCTTGATCCCAACTGCTCAGAAGAGCCTAAAGACAGAGACAGTCTCTGAGGTAACCAAATTCCATATTGTAAAAGGCTTTTCAGACTCTAGGAAACACACTCAACCGTGTTCGGAAACAAACAAGATAGGATCTGCACACCCAAGGGAGCACACTGCCAGTTGTTGATTCCCGTTGTTAGATAAGCCATTCATTCTGTGGTGTACAGTGGAAAGCTTTGAATGATTTATACAAACTATCATGGAAGGACTTTTACATGGGTGAAACTTCTGGGGAAAGTAATTTGGCGATTTCTGGATAAGGGGCGTGTTAAGAGCAAGGACTTAGAAGTTGGACTGCCTGGGTTGAAATCACTTATCTACCACTCACTAGCTAGTGACCTCGGGCAAGTTATTACCTAAATTTCCTCGTACTCAAGGTAATAGTAATAATAATACTTCATTGAGTTGTGTCAAGGTTAAATGAGATAATCATTGTAAGCATTTAGACTAGTACTTGTGACATAGTAAATGCTAAATTTCACTTTTCAGAAACTGTCATACAAAAAGGAAATCAGTACCTAAGGATGTGTGAATAAGGATGGTTTATTGCTACATGTATTGTAGGGTCAAAAAGAAAAAGGGGGACTAAAGTTTCTTTTTGTAGGGACAAAAAGAAAAAGAAGGAAATCTGAATTTCCTTCAACTGTGGAATACTTGGATGAATCTGTATCCATGCTATGGATTTTTATGCAATTAGAAGGAAGGAGCTAGGTGCTATAACTTTTGTCCTAAAGGGTATTCATGTATTTTTGTCAAGTGAAAAAATTATAGCTTTTTGTGGCTAGTATAATTCCGTTTTTGTACCAATTAGGAACTACACACAGACACAGAGATGCACACAAACATATACATATATGAATAGGTATGTTTGTTTATAGGAGCATAAAGAAATGTGTGGAGACACATATACTGGACTGTGGCCGTGTACAGAAATCTTCATATTGCGGTTTGTGTAAGCACAGAGAAAAGTATGAAAGGATTTAAACCAGTGTATTGGTGTTGGTTACCCTGGGGAAGGAGAAGATTGCTAACTTTTCTTTATACATCCATGTTATTTGATTTGTTGCTTATATTGCCTTCGTGATTTGAAAGGAAAATTCAATATGGCATAACAAATAAAAAAATAAAAAAAGGAGATCTAACTTCACCTGACAAAATAGGGGAAAAAGAGATTTAACAATCTAGTTGAAATATAGTAAACGTCTTATAAAATATTGCGAGGGGTTACATAAGAGTTATTTTCTCAAATGAAGTTTATAGATTGAAGAGTAATAATAATAAAATTTATCCCTTATTGAACACTTAGGTACTTATACCAGACCCTGTGCTAAGCCCTTTACATCGGTTTTCTTATTCAATCCTAAAAAGAGAACCCTAAGTGGTACTGTCCCAGATGAACAGATGTGTTGAAGAGGCTGAGAGGGCTTGCTAATGTCTTCAGGGTCACTCAGCTAGTAGGTCCTAGAGGTAGAATTTGAAGCCAGATCTTTGACTTGTGCTCGTAGGCACTATATTGTATATCAGAGTTTATACTTAGGGACTGTATTTTTAAAAACTCAACTCTCCAAAATGTTTTCATTTTATATACTCCTTTTATAAGGATTATTGTTCAATTTGAAGTCACAAGAAGTACAGAAACTCCACCACCCAGGCATGTTGTGATGTCACAGGGCATAACTCAATTGCTAGATGGTTCAGTGGCAAAAGAGGATTTATTAGCGTTTGTTTAGAAGTGGTTCAGTCCCTATGTTCCTTGCTGGGACAAAGAAAACAGGATGAGAATGCCAAGTGAGTGCATTTGCTGCCTTGATGAGGCTGGAAAATGATTCATTCTTTGGAGAGGCAGCTAAAGCCAATTGATTTCTGGATTATTCTGAAAGGCAGATGTCAATTTGGATCAAGCATATTATATTGAATTTTGTGTTGCCTGGACTGCCCTGAAATCAGCAGTAAAGAAAATGAACTCCAATGATCCTCCACTGAGAGTAGTCTCCCTCCAGTTAATGAGGTTCCTGGGAGTCACCAGAGACTTGATTAGTCTCAACATAAGAAGATGCAAATCTGTGTTACCGAAGCTAAAGATCTTCAGTGAGTTAAATTTAACTAGTCCTAAACTAGGCTGTAGAATAATGCTCAGATGTGTATGTTAATGAAATGTCTTCTAATACAAAAAGTTGCTCAACACAAACTTACATCTGAAATTCAAGCAATTATTTTTATAATGAAAAATAAGCAATGTAGAGTGATTTTACTGAAATATTTGCTGTAAAATTCTTTAAGAATTCTCAGTTATTTTCAAGAATAAAATTGCCTCTGTTTTACAAAACTTATGAATTCCCCATAAGGAGAAACTGACATCAGAATATCATAACAAAACATTCTCCATAAATGACTAGAAGCTTTCAGATTCTGTGAATTTATTGTACAGATCAGATCATTTGCGAAGATGGATGTACAAGACCGTCCATGTTCTTCTGGATTCTGAGTATGGCTATACTGAAAATTGTAAATACCTTTTTATGTATATTTTAATTGTTTCAATAGTCTTAAAATTGTTATCAATAGTAACAGAGATATAATAAAGAAAAAACTGGGTTTGAGAAAGTTAAATATCTCTAGGTGTCAATTTTGTAGTATCCAAAGAAGAAATAGTAGTCCCCAGGCCCCAATTTTATGCCCTGAGAAGTAATAATGATGATTGCTCTGCATTTGGGAGGGTATCAAAATGAGACTGCAAATGGAAGGCATTTACCCACAGCACCTAACGTCTATACTAGATCTGCGTACTCAACATTATTTCAACTGCGTTTCTGTCTCTCACTTTAGAATAATGCTTAGTAGTGCCTGTCACATAATTGGCACTTAGTAAGTAATAGTTTATTACATGAGAGTATATGGGTGAGAGAAAAGTAAAATATTGTTTTAGGCTGAGCCTAATGGATTTGGTCATCTTTAGAAGGTTACTCTGGTATTTTGATCCTCAAATGGTGGTGTCAGAATCTCTGTTTTATTACTTTAAGCTAATTCTTAGGAATAAGTTTATGCTAACTGAAATTTCATTTGGCTGATTTTATAAGCCAGAGTACCAGTTTATCATGAGGAAAAGGATAGCAGAATAGCCTATACCGGGAAGTGAACATGATGTACCATCTTGATGGGCTGGTGTACTCAGGAGAAGACAAAATTTATAGTTCAGATTGCTCACTGACAATCCAAAATTACATATTACCAACAGACCGCTCAAATCAAGCTAATATTTGGTGTGTTTTACTTATCTGCTCTAGAGATATTTTATCTAAATAGTGGTGACGGGTTAGATTAGGTTAGAGTCAGCTTCCCTCCTCCTGCTCCCCCAGTGTATGGGTAAATCATACTGTTGAGTGTTATTTTCCAGTATTACCACTGCTCCAAAAGCTTCTGAAATTACAAGATTTGTGTGTTCTTCTTTCACTACAGCAAATCTCTACTCTGAATGAAGTCAATTAGGACATCCCAAGGTTAGAGTTTATATGATGTGTAAAAAATTCAAATAGACAAATTGTGAGTTCTAAGAGATATCTATGCTCCTTGTTAATTTTTTTATAAGTAGGTTTTCACAGGTGGCAAATTTTGTCCTTTTATAGTAAAGCTTAGTGTTTTGTTTTAGAGAGTGCTATTTTCCACTATTTGTCCCAAATTTTAGGAGCATTCTTTATTTGGGTCCCCTTGTGCACTAACTATACTTTGTTGATTAGGTCTTATGTCCAGACCTTTTCAAAAGTATCAAATTTTATTTTAAGAAAAGAATAGAGATCTCAAAATATCCTATTGAATATTTATTTATATGCAGTATTTTGTAATATATTCTGTGACCTTTAATTGGCTGTGACCTTCCATATCATAGAGTCATATAACTTTAGATATGAAAAAGAATCTTAGATATAATTTAATTCTTCTTTGGCATGTGAAGTAACTAAATCAGATATGTTTAGAGATTTGTTTAGGGTCATGCAACTAGGCAGTGGCCAGTTAGCGGTACATGCCAGATATGTTGACTTTTACTTCATTCCTCTTTTAACCTGGTGTCATTACACCACACATTTTCTCATACTTCAGCCCCCAGGGTCATTAGGAAATATATTGCTTCTCATGTAATGAGATTTTGATATTTTCTGGCTAGTTCAGCAGCATTTTCCTAAATTAAAACTTGGCTTCCCTTGGCTAGAAATTGAGACAGCAAATCTAATAGCAGAAGGCTGTTGTGTACATCAGTGTCAAAATTTTAAGATATGAAGTCCCAAGAAAAGAATGCCACCCAATATTTTAATCATTAAAGGAATTTATAATAATAATATAGGTATTTTGTTTCAGACAGTAAATATTGAGAATTATGATTAAGTCTTCAAAGGAGAAGATTGTGAAGGCTGATCATCCTATTCTTATACTGGAGGAAAAGAAATTATCAGTGTCCTCCAGTCAAAGACCGCAGGAACACCTGTAGTTAGACAAAGTTGGGTTTATTGACTTGTTGCAACACAGGGGGAACTGTGGGGCATTTCAGTAAGAGGGTGTTAGAAAGGACTTATAGCATTTGGGCTTACGTTAAGTATTTTTTGAGGAGCGTTCAAGGAAGTGATGCTTTGCTCTGAATTGGATCCTGTCAAGAAGTATAGGCAACTCTATGGTTGGGTATCTTAGTAAATCTTATCTAGAAAGCAGGGGAGAATAAAAGAAGACAAAGCCATGATTGGTAAAAAAGCAGCAACTACTCATATTCGCCAGAATGGGGGGATGTTTGGTCATTTTTGTGTTTTGGACAATATTGTTTTTGTCTGAGTACAGACATGATTACAGAGGGATGTTGTTTTTGTCTTGATCCATCAGGGTCACAGAGTGACCTTGTCTGATCTTGGTGTGCTGTGAAATTGATTGTGTTCAGCCCGAGAATGTCAAGGCCTAGCTGTGAGTTCTGGGCCAGCCCCGAGGAACCCAACGCCTGATGGGGCCAAGCCGGTTCCCAGCCATCAGCAGCTGCTTTTCCTTTTTCTTAAATGAGAATAAGGTTGTTTGGATTTTTGATTGTGGTTCCTAAAGCAGGCTAGATCTTTGATCTTTCAGTAAAGGAGGAGCAAAGGCCGCTGAGCATAGAATGTATAAGCCTACAGACCCTTATCTATAATTCTAAAATCCAAATATCTCTGTATTTATTTGGTGGCAAAACTTGACCAGAAATGCTGTGATGCTATGTTTAGTGTTGATTTCTCCCACTGAAATGTTTTGCTGTAGAAATCCACTGTCTTTTATTACACGTGCTTCTGGTGGGAGTGTCATAGCTTATCTGGGCCTAAGGGTGGGTTTGCATCTGAATTTAGGGACAATGTCAAATATCTGCCGAGTGTTGAATTACCTTTTAAATAAGGATGTTTGTACTATAGTTGTTGAGGATCTATTATTGAGCTTATGAATTGTGTAATTAATATGACCTGTTGTCTTAAATTACCAGGCAGTAATAATAACAATAAAAATTGTCATTGAGCCCTTACTACATGTCAGGAATTTTGCCAACCACTTTACATGCAATATCTCATTTAATTCTCAAGTCAACTCTTATGAGGTGGAACCCATCACTCTCCCTCTTTTAAAGATGAGAAACTTAGACTATATAATTGCCCAAAATCCAGTGGCTTATAAATGGTCAAGGAGTCGAACCCAGGGAATCTTTCTCCAGAGCCTTTGTTCTCCTCATTACCATTTTAGAACATAGAAGGCTTATCTCCTTTATGTGCTTTCTCCAGCTAGCTCAGGCCCATTTGGTGGAGAAGCACATGGACCATTTCATCTGCTGTCCCAGCCCAATATAGACCTTTCACAAAGTCCCACATCAAAGATTTCAGCAAAAGAAACCTTAATGATAGGGATCAGACCTGTGGCTTGGAGGTCTGGTTGGAGTTGGTTGGCGTGGAGATTGGAGGCATGGTTGAGTTGTTATTGAACAGATCATCACTGGGCTGCCATGGTTCATTTATTTCTCATATTCTTCCTGTTCCTTGTCCTGGAGTTAGCTTGTTCTCTGCTTTCCCATAGGAAATTCTGATTGTTAGCGCAAATTTACCTTTAGAGGTGGCCATCACGAAATTAGTCATGGTTATTCAGGAACATTTAGTGAGAAGAAAAATATGATAAACCAAAGAGGGGGGGAAAGCATCCTTTTTTTTTTTCTTTTTTTCTTACTGTTTCTCTTCTCCCACCCATCTCGCTTTCTCTTTCTCATTCTCTCTCTCTCTGGCTTCTTATCTCTTTTCATACTTTTAAATCTGTATTTTCCTAGCTTGTATACTTTTTCTTCATCTTTTTCTCTCCTAATTTCTTGCATGTATTCTTTTTTCTTCTCTTTTATTTTTTCTACACTTTTTCCCTTTGTTACTTTTGTCATTTGCAGTAGTTCTTCACTCATGATTCCCTTTTCTGTTCATGCAGCACACAGTAAGTCTGAAGTGTCCTATACATACAAAACTGCAGACAGGTATTTTGTACTTGATTATTTGTAGTGAACTACTTGACAATGAAATAATAAGTGTTTACTGTTCTTCTTTGACCTTTATATCCATAAACCTCTCTATTTTATCCATATCAGAATTGCCTTATTAATATGTCTTGCCATTTCAAAGGAAGTGGATTATGATTTTATTTTTCTAGTGACCTTTTGTAGCAAACAGTTTGCTACAGACCGTTTGCTTGCTACATTGAACGTGATGGGATAGGGTACAGTTATTCCCCAGTTATTCACAGGCTAGGCTTCAGGCATTCGATCAACATGAACAACAGGCATAGCGCGAAATCCCAAGGGAGTAAGAGGGGGAATGAGACTACCTGGAGGCAACACAGAAACAGTTTCTGAACAAAAAGCAGTAGTCTTTAGACTGCTTAATAGAAATCCATAGTCTGGCAATGGCTATATGTCCAATGGCTCTTCAGAAAACTAAGATGAAGATAGGGGTGGGCTGAGGAAGAGAGAAGGGAAAAAAGCAGAAAGAAGGGAGCAACAAACAGCCAGAGCAGCCCAGATGGCACAGTGAGGACAGTGGTGGCAGCCAAGCCCAGGGAACAACATTGGTGGCCAGCAGTCGTGGGTCTTTGAGGAAAGGAGAAAGCGGCAGTGACTCAGGAGGAGGAGATGGCACACTTCTGCCCTTTGGAGGCTGAAGGAGCCATTTGGGTTTGAGTTGCTTCCAAGACAACTACTCCATGATGCCAGAAGACAGAGTCAATAGATTCTAATGCTAGACAGTTCAGGAGCTCATCCTGAGTAAAAGGAATCAATGGGAATAATCGATGCCTTTTTAAACTACTTCATTATTATATTGATTCAACCTAAGAATTGGGGTATTATTAAGAATATAAAATATTTTGTGAACAAATATTGAGAGCTTTGGGCAAAATTGTGGGCTTGCGTCAGATATGCAAGATTCTTATTCTTATAGTAATGTGTAGTCTTCTGAGTAAGGTCTTAAGGTCTGGGCTTTATGGAGCTACTTGCCTCACCTCCCTGCCACCACACACCAAGTATCAGTTCTAAAAATCCAGCATTTCTGCATATTCAATTAGCCACCTTATTCTTAGTCAAATAGATAAAAGCGGACAATCTGGTATGAATGAGTTTGGGGTACTGAAATGATATTTTGACTGCTGTTGCCTAAATGACCCTAATAGAAACATGTCACAGATTTCTGGAGGATTTTGAAATCATTTGAGATGTGATAGCTTTGTCCTATGATAATATAATTTGTTTTATGTGTCAATTTTGTATGTCATCCTTGAGTACCACGTAACCTTATACTTTTCACTTCACAAGAAAAATGCAAGTAACCCAAAACTAAGACATTTTTAAAGAAAGTAAATTCTATTTAACGCTTAAATTTTTTTTCTGCACTTATCCTTATGTGCTTATGTGGCAGGCATGGTACCAAGTGATGCTCATACATTACCTCTAATCTTGAAAATGGCTCTCCAAGATAGATATAGATAACAGTTATCTCTGTTCTAGAGATTAAAAACTCAGGAAGTACACAGCTGGTAAGGGGCAGGGTCAAGATTTCAACATAGATGTCTCTGGCTCCTAAGCCTGTTTTCCTCTGGGCTATCTCCGTCATTGCACAGAATAACAGCTAGACCAGAGTAACCCCCCATGACCACCAAGGACGAGCTTGACTATGTACAGTAGGCTTTATTTAAGAAAGTGCAGATGATTTTTGTAAAATTTCCATCGTAAAAAGGTTAAAATTAAGTCTTAATGTTTAAAGAAGTTAGATTGCACATCACTTGGCCAGAATATGCTATCATCATTCATAGGTTGTATTGATAACTAAGGTATTAGAGCGTAATTTTATAAAATATATTGAAAGTTTGTTTTTAGATCTAAGGTTATAAATTTTATTGGTTGTGTTTTGTTGAATTTGATCAGAAGCTGTCTTTTCTTTCAAAATTTTGTACGTCATCAAGTATTGATTTATATTTATTCAGGGATCTTCGTGAGACATCTAATGTTGAACTTCAGTCTTTTTATTTAGTTAAAAGATTTTCCAGAAGTATTTTCATGGCATATTGAGTTCAAGTTAAATTATGGAATTTTACTCTATGTGTCCATATTGAAAATATGTAAGCTCTATATGCAACATTATATACTTTTGATCTTTCAATCTTAATATACTTTTTAATCTATGTGTTTTAAAATTCAGGTCCCAAGTCATTTGCAAAAGCATTTTCCAGTGGCTACCTAATTGGAGAAGTTCTGCACAAGTTTGAACTTCAGGATGATTTTTCAAAATTTACAGAAAGCAGGTCAGTGAGATTATCCCTTACGTTAACAAAGGTCAAGTCCTTTGACATTTGGATGATTTTAGCCTCCCAAGTTAACTTTAAAGACTCATGAATCACAAGATCTCTTCCAAACGGAAACCAATCAAGCACATCATTGGTATGGAAATTGTTGCTTCCTCACATTGTCCAAGGACAATGTACTCCAACGCACTCCATGTTTGAACTCCCAAGGAGTACAAAAGAGAGAAAGGTACAGTTGCAGCAAGCCCTCAATTTTAGACGGGCCACATTGAGTATCTTCTACATTCCTGCAGTCTGAGGCCGGATTATTTCCTATTTTGTTAATTGGTTCTGCTTTCTTTTAAGTGAAGTGAAACAGCATACAGTGTCCTGGTCAATTAATATTTTTCTTTGTGTTTTAAAAGTATAAAATAAAACTTAACTAATAGTAAAAAAAAAATCCATAATATTTGTTTTTAGTAGCTTTACTGGGATGTAATTCACATACCATAATTCACCATTTTAAAGCTTACAGTTCAGTGGTCTTAAGTATATTTACGTATTTAGTATATTCACAACCATCACCCTTATCTAAACACCCAGCCTAGTACCCACTAATATATTTTCTATCTCTATGGATTGGGCTGTTCGACACGTTTCGTATCAATGGAGTTTTACAGTATGTGGCATTTCGTGACTGGCTTCTTCCACTTAAGATAATGTTTTCAAGGTTCATTTATATTGTAGCATGCATAAGTACTTCTTCATTCCTATTTATTTGCTGAGTAATTTCAACTGGATATGCTATATTTTTTAATAAATTCATAAATTGCTGGGTGTTAGTTGTTTCCACTTTTGCGTGTGTGTGTTTTTACATGGAAATGTTTTAATTCTTCGTGGGTATATACCTAGGAGTGGAATTGCTGGATTGTATGTCTATGTTTACATTTTGAGGAACATCCAAACAGTTTTTCAAAGTGCCTGCACCATTTACACTCACACTAGTAATGTGTGAAGGTTTCAATTTCTCCACATCCTCGTCAACACTTGTTATTGCCTGTCTTTTTGATTATAGCCATCCTAGTGAGTATGCAGTAGTATCTCATGTGATTTGGATTTACATTTCCCTAATAACTAATGATGTCATGCATCTTTTTCTGTGCTTATTAGTCATTTGTATAGCTTCATTGATGAAATATTATTCAAATCCTTTGCCTATTTTCTTTAAATTTTTTTTAAAGCTGTTTTTGCTTCACAGCAAAATTGCAAAATTGAAAGGAAGGTACAGAGATTTCCCATTAACTTCCTATCCCCACACATTCAGAGCCTCATTCATTATCAGTATCTGCCACCAGAGTGGTACATTCGTTACAACTGATGAACCTATATTGACACATCATCCTTCCTCAAAGTAAATAGTTTACATTAGAATTCACTCTTGGTGTTGTCCATTCTATGAATTTGGGCAAATGTGTAAATGACATGCATCCACCATTATGGTATCATACACAGTGTTTTCACTGCTCCCAAACTGGCTGTGCTCCACCTTTTCATCCCTCCCTCACCCCAACCTTTGGCAACCATTGATCTTTGCACTGTCTCCATAATTTTGCCTTTTCTGGAATGTCATATAGTTGTAATCATACGGTATGTAGCCTTTTGGGATTGGTTTCTTTCACTTAGTAATATATATTTAAGGTTCCTCTATGTTTTTCATGGCTTGATAGCTCATTTCTTCATAGTTATGAATAATATTCCATTGTCTGGATGTGCCACAGTTTATTTATCCATTTACCTGTGAAGGACATGTTGGTTGCTTCCACGTTTTGACAATTATGAAAAAGCTGCTATAAACATCCATGTGCAGGCTTTTGTGAGGACATGTTTTCAACTCCTTTGGGTAAATACCAAGGAGCACTACTGCTGGATTACAAGATTCTTTGCCTATTTTTAAATTGGATTATTTGTCTTTTTATTGTTATGTTATATATTCTGGTGAAAAGTCCTGTATCAGATAAATAATTTGCAAATATTTTTTCTCATTATATGGGTTGTCTTTTTACTTTCTTAATGATATCCTTTAGGCACAAGTTTTCTATTTTTATGAATTCCGATTTATCTACTTTTCTTATTTATTTATATTTTTTAAATTATTGAGGTCACATTGGTTTATAACAGTGTGTAAATTTCAGGTGTACATCATTATATATTTCAGTCTCTGTATAGACTTCATCATGTTCACCACCAAAAGTCTAGTTTCCATCCATCACCATACATGTGTGCCCCTTTACCCCTTTTGCCCTTCCCCCACCCCCTTCCCCTCTGATAACCACCATTCTGTTCTCCTTATCTATGTGTCTGTTTGTTTATCTTCCACATATGAGTGAAATCATATGGTATTTATCTTTCTCCATTTGACTAATTTCCCTTAGCGTAATACCCTTAAGATCTATCCATGTTTTCACAAATGGCATGATTTCATCTTTTTATGGCTGAGTAGTACTCCATTGTGTGTGTGTGTGTGTGTGTGTGTGTGTGTGTGTATGTCTCTTCTTTATCCATTCGTGTGTTGGTTGGCACTTGGGTTGCCTCTGAGTCTTGGCTATTGTGAATAATGCTGCAGTGAACATAGGGGTGCATATATCTTTTTGAATTAGTGTTTTCATGTTCTTTGGATAAATATCCAGATGTAGAGTAGCTGGATCATACGATATTTCTATTTTTAATTTTTTGAGAAATCTCCATACAATTTTCCATAGTGGCTGTACCAGTTTGCATTCCCACCAGCAGTATATAAGGATTTCCTTTTCTCCACATCCTCTCCAACACTTGTTATTTCTTGTCTTAATAATAGCCATTCTGACAGGTGTGAGCTGATATCTCATTGTAGTTTTTATTTACATTTCCCTAATAATTAGTGACGTTGGACATCTTTTCATGTGCCTGTTGGACATCTGTATGTCTTCTTTGGAAAAATGTCTATTTGTATCCTCTGCCCATTTTTTGATTGAGTTGTTCACCTTTTTGTTGTTAAGTTGTACGAATTCTTCATATATTCTGGAAATTAACCTCTTACTGGATATATGATTTGCAAATATTTTCTCCCTGTTGATGGGTTGTCTTTTCATTTTGTTAGTGGTTTCCTTTGCTATGCAGAAACCTTTGAGTTTGATGTAGTCCCATTTTTTAATTTTTTGTTTTGTTTCCCTTGCCTGAAGAGACATGGTATTCAAAAAGATACTGCCAAGACCAATATCAAAGAGTGCTCTGTATATGTTCTCTTCTAGGAGTTTTATGGTTTCAAGTCTTATATTCAAGTCTTTAATCCATTTTGAGTTAACTTAGGCAAGAAAAGGAATAAAAGGGATTCACATTGGAAAGGAATAAATAAAACTGTAACTATTTGCAGATGACATGATTCTATACATGGAAAACACTAAAGAATCCACCAAAAACTACTAGGAATAATTAATGAATACAGTAAAGTTTCAGGGTACAAAATCAACATACAAAAATCAGTTGCATTTCTATACACTAACAATGAACTAGCAGAAGGAGAAATCAAGAATACAGTCCAGGGCTGGCCCAGTGGCACAGTGGTTAAGTTCGCATGTTCTGCTTCTCAGAGGCCTGGGTTTGCCGGTTCAGATCCCCAGTGTGGACATGGCACTGCTTGGCAAAAACCATGCTGTGGTAGGTGTCCCACATATAAAGTAGAGGAAGATGGGCACGGATGTTAGCTAGGGCCAGTCTTCCTCAGCAAAAAGAGGAGGATTGGCAGCAGTAGTTAGCTCAGGGCTAATCTTCCTTAAAAAAAAAGAATACAGTCCTATTTAAATCACAACAAAAAGAATAAAATATCTAGGAATAAATTTAACCAAGGAAGTGAAAGACCTATACACTGAAAACTATAAAACATTATTGAAAGAATTGTAGAAGAGATAAAGAAATGGAAAGACATTCTGTGCTCATGGATAGGAAGAATAAATATAGTTAAACTGTTCATATTATCTAAAGCAATCTACAGATTCATTGCAATCCTAATGACATTTTTCATGGAAATAGAATAAAGCATCCTGAATTTTATATGGAACTATAAAAGACCTTGAATAATAATCAAAGCAATCCTGAGAAAAAAGAGCAAAGATGGAGGCGTCACCCTCCCTGAATTCAAAATATGCTAAAAAGCTATAGTCATCAGAACAACATGATACTGGCAGAAAAACAGACACACATATCAGTGGAACAGAATTGAGAGCCCAGAGGTAAACTCACACATCTATGGACAGCTAATTTTCCACAGAGGAGCCAAGAACATACAATGGAGAAAGGAAAGTCTCTTCAATAAATGGTGTTGGGAAGACTGGACAGCCACATGCAAAAGAATGAAAATAAAGCATTATCTTACGTCATACACAAAAATAAACTCAAAATGTGTTAAAGACTTGAATGTATTTTTTCTTTTGTCCCTTGTGCTTTTAGTGTTACAGGCGTGCCTCAGAGAGATGGTGGGTTTGGTTCCAGAACACCACAATAAAGCAAATATCACAATAAAGCAAGTCACACAAATTTTTTGATTTCCCAGTGTATATAAAAGTTATGTTTACACCGTACCATAGTCTATTAAGTGTGTAATAACATTATGTCTAGAAAAACAATGTGCATATTTTAACTAAAAAAATACTTTATTGCTACAAAATGCTAATCATCATCTGAGCCTTCAGCGAGACATAATCTTTTGCTGGTGGAGAGTCTTGTAAAAAACACAATATCTGCACAGCCCAATAAAGCAAAGTGCCATAGAAAGAGGTATGCCTGTATATGCGGGGAAAACACTGCCCACTTCAAGGTCACAAAGATTTACTCCTGTATATATGTTCCCTCAAAGTTTTATAACTTTAGCTCTTACATTTAGGTCTATGATCCACTTTGTGTTGAATTTTTCTATGTGTGAGGTAAGAGTCCAACTTTAATATTTTCACGTGGCTATCCAGTTTTATTAGCACCATTTGTTGAAAAGG